TGTCTTCTGCAGGAGACTTTTACTCTGCTGCAGGTTTTAAATAAGTGACTGTTTTTCTGTTTTAGTCTGAAATCTTTGGAATTCTGGTTCAATCACCTCTACACGCATGAAGGTAAGACCATAGTGACTGAAACGACGGATTTCTTCTTGTGCATCTTGTTGTGACGCCTCCTCACCTCTCTTATCTTTTATTCAGATATTATTGCCGCATACTACAGCCCTTGGGGTTTCCTTCCCCTGTCACAGGGGCCGTGTCAGCCCCTCTTTGAGGAGCTCCTCCTCCTGCTGCAGCCTCTCTCACTGCTCCCCTTTGACCTGGACCTGCTGTTTGAACCACATCTCCTCCAAAAGGGACAAGAGCAGCTTCGTCGCAAAGAGCAGCTCTGCTCTGCAGGCCAGAGCGTCGACCAGTCGAAGTGCTCCACCTTCCAGCTCATGAGGGGGTGGAGCAACACTGTCAGTGAAATGGTCAAAGACTCAAGCGCAGAGGTGAAGAAAGAGAAGGCGGGGCTCAGGCGAGAGGGAACATGGCCAAGGATGGAGGGAGTTGGATCGAGAAGAGAGGCAGCAGCGGGGAAATCGATGCTGAGGAAAGAGGGCGTTACAGCTCAGAGCATGACAGCTGGGCCTGATTGCAGAGGGACAGTGAAGGAAGTAGGGTTTGCACATTTATGGAAGGAGAGGGGGGTCCAAGGGCAGAGGGTGAAAGGTGTAGGACAGGAGAGCCATGGAGAATATGAAGATAAAAAGAAGAAGGACAAGAGGAAGGAAAAAAACAGATTTCCTGCAGATGAAGGGCGTCAGCGGCAAGACAGGCAGGCCGGCTGGTGGTACCAGCTCATGCAGTCCTCCCAGGTCTACATCGACCAATCCACAGAGGGGACAAAGTTTGTTAAGACCGAGAAGAGGAAGAAGTCATCGGAGAGACGACAGGGCCAAATCCCACCCACAAGAGAGGGAGTGGTGGAGGGAGCGGAGGCCTCTCAGGAAGGTGAGGGCGGGAAGAGCAGTAGCTTGAGCGGGGACTCATCTGGATCCAGGGGGCGGCCTTCGTGGATGGGCAGCCCCCCAGAGTCTGTCCTCAACCAGGAGAATCACACCAACCCTCTGGAGGTCACGGTGACTGGGAGCCACGGCGGAGCCCAGGATGAGAGCCCCTCACAGGGACAGAGTCTGCGCTGGAGCAGGCTCTTTGGCTCTAGTGTCGGTTCTCCCTCGAAAGCAGAAGGAGGTGAACAGAAGCCAAAAACCCAAAAGACCAGGTGAGAAAATGTTCATGACTGAAACCACCAAAATATCATTTGTATATCTTAATCTGAAACTAACAGAACGATCACCTTCTTCCTGAGGAACATTTTCCAGTTCTTTACAAATTTAGTGGGTTTATATATATTTTTGCTTCACTGGATGTCGTTGATGTCGTGCCGCAAATGACGAAAGACTGACCTGGACTAACATCGGCCTTTTGTTTTCACGTTGTGTTTGTGTTTCTTAGACCTCCATCGGGCTGGCTCGGCTTGGATCGGTCTGTTCTCGACCTTGTAGCTTTGACCATTGGAGCAGGCCCCGGAAAAAAGGCGGAGCTTCCTGCCACACCAACTCGCACCCAAAGTACAGCTCCACCAGCGTCGACGTACCCAGCTGAGGCCAAACTACAGTCCAGCTGGTAGGAACCGCCTGCAGTGTTATCGTAGTGTTACTTGGAAGTGATGCCAAGCATTCCTCCCTCAATACTTTTCGATCACTCATCCTCACCTTCTGCCTCCGTGTTGATTTCTCAGCGAAGTACGAGCACTGTGCCACCACATCGCCACCGAGCCCGGACAGCTGAGCTTCAACAAGGGCGACATCCTGCGTGTTCTGAGCAAGGCTGACCCCGATTGGCTGCTCTGTTCCCTGGGCTCCACCCGGGGCTTGGTTCCAATTGTCTACGTCACCCTCAACAGCATGGAGGACAGCCAGGATTCCCCTGGTTTCGGGCAATGCTGAGCAAGAGAAAACTGTCCGAAAGGTGAAGCCAAACAGACATGGAGGGTATCCCTCCCGCACACGGACCGAACACAAAAACCCGTTTTCGTCTGTAATTTAAAGGGAAAAAAAGACAAATCATTGTAGTAAAGCTGGAGAGGATGCAGACATGACTGCGAGGGCAAGCATGCAGGCTCAACCACAAACAGACATCTGCTTCAAGGGTACACCCAGACACGTATGCATGCATACATCCAAAAAAACAAAAAAGCACCCCACAAACAAACCCAAAGACTCTCAAGCGCTTCTTTCTCTGCCTCTCCTCCTAGCTTAGCAATGTGCAGGTCCAGTCTATTTATCATCCAGCTCTAATTTCAAAAAAATAGGCGGATCTCTCGTGCTCCACACCTGGCTGCACTGTGCTGTACAGCTGCGCCACACGTTGAACGCGCCGCTCAAACGATCGCCCTCGGTGCCGGCGCAGGTTAGTTTGACGTCCTCTCGTAAACTTGATCTTTGCATTCGTGTAGAAACGAGTGAGTCTTTGCTTTTTGGTAAGATTGATATGAATGTAAGAGCTTTTGGATAAATGTTCTGTGATTCAGCATATTTTTATTATTCTAATGAGACGGTGGAGATCTGCACACGAGCTCGTGACAGCAGCTGTTCAGACATTCAAAGTGAAACGAGAGCAGAAGGAGAATCGGCCTTTTCTTTTTATCCTCTGTTTTGTTTGATCTGCCTTCGTTTAAAAGCGTGACTGTTGGATGGATAGACAGTCAAAGTAATCCTCCTTTCCTCACAGCTGGGATAAAACCATGGTTGACACCGACGACTTGCATGAAATCTCTCGAAATCTTTTGCTTTTCCTTACCGTCCTATTTCCCCCTCTCCTCACTCTCACATCTAAGAAGACTTGACAACCTGTGAGGATGGCAGGACTGAGCTGGTGGTAACACGGCCCGATTTATTGGTACATACTGTAAATGCATTAGTGACTTAAACGTCTGATAAATTCTATTTATTTAATAAGTTGAGGGAAGCACCTAAATGGATGCTTACAGAAAACATGGATGTCAAATGAAAGCAAAGCATAGCTGTGCAGGTGTCTTTGGAAAAGGGGATGATGGGATTTACTCCAGCATGGAAGTTTATTCCGGTTCAAAGTGCAAAGATCTCATTCATGCCTTAAAGCACAAGTGTCGAACTCCAGGCCTCGAGTGTCAGTGTCCTGCAGGGTTTAGATCTCACCCTGGGCCAAGTCGAGTTCATTACCAGGCCTCTGGAGCCATTTAAATCAGCTGTGTTGGATCAAGGACACATCTAAGACCTGCAGGACACCGGCCCTCGAGGCCTGGAGTTCGACACTTGTGCATTAAAGAGTGCAGGTGGGGGGGGGGCACCTGTCCAGCTATTTGTCCTGATGGTGTATTTTGTACGTGCTCTGACGCGTCTAATGTGACGCGTCCTCCAGATTTATGTCTGCACACGTTCACGTGAAAGAAAAGGAGATCCTGATATTTTTGATGTTTAAAGGGAAACCCCGACACATGGTTTGTGATGGAGGCTCTGTGGGGGTCCTGTTCAGGTGCAAAATGTGGCCTTAGGCTCAAAATGAGTTGATGGAGAACTAAAATTCCGACTGTATACTTTAAACGTATACAGAAGGCCAGTCTGGAAAATTATAAAGAGGTCAAATTAATGTACATATATTAAATAAATGAATGCTTGTGTATTTTTTGAAAATCTCACATAGGATATAATTTCACCATTTCAGTTTTCCGTTGCTGTATAGTTTTTATTTTTATGTAAGACTTTTAACATCTAATTTCAGCGAGATGATTAACATTTCATCCAAATGTAAATATATTTAAAACCCTCCTGAATTAATTTCTGCTGTAGAGCTGTACGTACAAATGTTATTAAAGGTTTCTCAGTGCATTTTATGTTGACTACAGGAAGCGAGCATAAGCTTTAGTCTCACTGCTAACCAACCTGCTGACTGTAAGTTGCCCGTCACGTTGGAGGAAGGTTTGCTGTTCGTTGCCATCCTGCTCAGAGCTCACCGGGGACCGACAGAAATAAACACACAGTAATTAAAACAGAGACGGGCGAAGGAGGCCCAGGGGGCCAGAGGCAAAGAGAGACTTCTTTTTAGAATTAAGCATTTAATTATCTGGGATGTTGTGCATTAAAATACTTGTAGGAGTGACATAAGAGAGAAGGAAAGAAAGGAGTGATCTTTGTTTCTCTCGTCTGTTTTCTCCCTGCATTCTCTCTCCCGGCTGCCTGTAAATACCTTCAGCATCAGTGACACTGCTCTTCTCTCTGTGTCCAGACTATATGATGTGTACGTATGACATTATCAAACTACTATGGATGTTAAATAACAAAGTGCTCATGTGATCACAAACTCGTGTGGCTCCAGTGTCTTTTTCCCCCTCACACGTCACCTTTGAAGGGATTTGTCTACCCGAGAACACTCTGGATTTATGGGCAGCATCCAGCTTACGACTCTGTTCACTGCGTGCTTATTAAATACCTGCTTCATTTATCAGTGAGGCTCTGCGCTGCCCGGTGATGGGCATGCTGGGTAAGTGTTCCCATCTTAGTTTTATGCTTTTCCAGTAAAATTTAAGTGGCTGCAACCAGAGATGTGTCAGGCAGTTGTATTATTAACATCATTATTATTATTACTACTGAGGGTGCAAGTTGTGCTTTCTGCTTTAATGCTATGCCAACGCGTTCAGCTGCTTATGATTTATGAGTGGTTTTCACAGGACTCCATGCAAACTAAATACAGCTTTACAGCTTCCATAGGACGTAAGTAACAGCCAGGTACTGCTAATCAAGCCTACTTGATAAACTAGGAATCAGTAAGTTTAAGCACCTGTGTAAAAGCAGATGTTTGGGCATTTTACAGCAGGTAAAATAAGCATTGAACACATCACCAAATTTCCAAGTAAATCTATTTCTAAAGGTGCTATTGACATGAAATTGTCCATAAATTCCCAATGATCCCAAACACAGCAGCAAATCTACAACAGAATGGGTGAAAAAGAAAAGAATCAAGGTGCTGCATGGGTCCGATCACAGTTCAGACCTCAACCTTATTTAATACTGTGCATAAACAAACGTCCACAAACCTGAATGAACTGTAGCGATGAATTCCTCCACAATCCTGCGAGAGACTCGTGAAGTCACACAAAAGACTGAATCATCTTCTGTGGTGTTTTCTTGTGTGGTGGATGTTTTGGTTTTGTTTTTTAGGAGTCCGCACAGAGCTCTGTGAAAACTTGAATTTCTCCATGATTATATATAAAACACAAGTCTGTTTTTTTTATTATTATTATTATTCTGTCTCATTAAACACCAGTTGAGAGTTTTCCAGTTCCAGTGGTGTTCCAGTTACACAGGTTAATTGTCTGCAGATCTGAAGTAGATTTTAAAAAGAAATCCTTCCCATTACGCCCTCAATATTATTAGCATTCCACATGTAGCACATGTTGCCACCAGAGGGCGATATTGTCTTTTTGTCTGAGCCACCTGTGCATGAACTGATGTGCTGCACACTGAAGATGTATTTGAGAGGCAAATAGATCAAATCATTTTTCTGCTTCTATAAGTTGTCCTCTCTTTAAGGAGCTGTGTCTCCACACATGTCTTTCTGTACTGATGTCAAGCTACACAAGTTGAACTTTGGTTGTAGTTAAGAATATACCTGTTTAATCTAACCGTACTGCTAAAGCTCATTGAACCAGCCTGATCCATGAGTGGATTTAATATTATTCTAAAGTCTTTGAAGCAAAACATACTTCAGAAGTGTTAATTTGCAAAACAATTTTGCATAAAATGTAGAAACAACATTTGAAACAAGGAAATGAGAAAAAAAATTGACATCAAATTAAGATTTCATTGAAGGGTAGTGTCATATATCCTCAAACAGCAACAACACTGATAATTCAGTGTATATAACACTTAATGTGTTTAGGATTGCGGGGGGTTAAATACCTGTATACTTAGGAGACATTTATATTGGGGCAATTAAGGACAGCTCTAGGTTGTAGAGGTAAAGCTTACAGTGATGTCAGTCAACAGCTCATCTAAGACAGGCTGGGTAATTTAACACCAGCTAAGAGCTGAGCATCTGTCTGCCATCAGGGAGGTTTGCCAGCAGTGCTGACAGATATGCTAGTGAAAGCCGTGCATCATCATGTGTAACTTAATCTGATGATTCACCTGGTTTCAAAGCACAGAGCACGTTAGACTTCAACATACACTAAATAGTCGATAACATATAACCCCTGGTGATATAAAATGTCACTCTGCAAAATGAATCTTTCCCCAGTTTGTTGTGGAAGAGCGTCACAGATATGCACTGAGCTCTGAGTTCAGCTCCAGCACACAGGTGGGTATTTTCCACAGTCACTGACGAGAATATTCTGTTTATCACTGCTGCTGTCTTTCAAATGTTTCACCTGACAAAGTAAAAATGATATTAATATGTGCAACATTTTACAGACTCTGTAATGCTACAAAAGCTGCACATGTTGTATATGATATGAATGACCACATGCTTTAATTAGCTAGAAACAAATCCTCAAGTGCCCTCGGTCATAAATCTGTGCAGTTATAGAGCAGTAAGATCACGACTCTCCCAAACTGATACCAGGCGTTTCTAATATCCTCTGAAGAGCTACAGTTAGGTCCATATATGTTTGGACGCTGACAAGTTTTGTTCTTTTACCTTTTTACTGAACCATGTTCCAATTATAGTTCTATAATGAACATGGACATAATGTGTAGACTCTCAGGTTTCATTCGAGGGTATCCACACTCGGACTGGATGAAGGGTTTAGGAGCATCAGCTCCTTAGTGTGCACCACCCTCTTTTGAAAGGGAACAGAAGTCATTGGACAATTGACTCAAAGGCTATTTCATGTGCAGGTGTGGGCGATTCCTTCACTATGTCATTATCAGTTAAATAAATAAAAGGCCTGGAGTTGATTTGAGGTGTGGTGCTTGCTTTGGCAGATTCTGCTGTGAACTGACAACATGTGTTGAAACAAGCCGTCCCAAGCTGTGAAAATAGATTAAAAACAGCCCAGAAATAGCTACAATAATGGGAGTGGTAAAATGGTACATCCTGAGAAAGGAAGACGGCACTGGTGAACTCAGCAATGCAAGAAGACTTGAACATCCAAGAAAATAACAGTGGTGCATGAGCACAGAATCATTTCCATGGTGAAGACAAACCCTTTACAACAGCCAACCGAGTGAATAACACTCTCCAGGAGGTCAGCGTACTGATATCCAAGTACCTAAAGAGAAGATGGCATGAAAGTAAAGGGTACAGAGGGCTCACTGCAAGGTTAAGCCACTCATAAGCTTCAAGAATAGCAATGCTAGACTGGACTTTGCTGAAAAAAGAGCTAAAAAAGCCAGCAAAGTTGTGGAAAAACATTCTTTGGATAGATGTTACAGAGATTTACTTCTACCAGAGTGATGCGTGGAACAGCTCATGATCCAAAGCAATCCACATTGATGATGTGACACAGGACAGAAGCAGCTGAATGAACTCTGAGGTGTACAGAGGCTTACTCTCTGCGCAAATCCAGCTAAATGCAGTCAAATTGATTGGGTGGTTTTTCTAATCCAGATGGACAATGACCATCCAAACATACAGGAGTTTATCAAAGCGAAGAAGTGGAATATTCTTAAATGGACAAGTCACCTGAGCATGAGCATGCATTTTACTTGCTAAACACTAAACTTCAGACAGAAAGGCCCACAACAAACAGCAACTGGAAGCTGCTGCAGTAAAGTTGTGGTATCACAATAAAAAGCAGGAAACCCAGCATCTCTGTCTCTGTCCAAATACTTATGGACCTAACTGTATTTCTTATCACAATACTGAAAAGTTCCAGTCAAGGGTCCGGTCTCAAAACCTAAAATAACTCACAAAGACAGAAGTTAAACACATTTCCAGCGCTCAAATGCAAAGTTAGAAGTACATGCATCAGTGCACAACGTGTCGTGTCTGCTTACATTTAAATGCACAGCTTTTTTTTCCTGGAAATGTGTTTGTTAATATTGGTGCAAGTTTTTCAGGCTAATAACGGCTCAGCTGAAACTGCAAATCAACTGAAATCAGCTCACGGTCAGGCAGCTTGCTCTGGACACATTACTCACATTTGTGATCAGATATTGCTAATTTGTGTATTTTGCAAGAATCACTTCTTTGTGCTATTAATATTTCTGTGAGCCACTCTTGCAGACACACTGACTGCTGTGTGCTGACACACGGTGAGTGCCTCTTATTTGTGTCACAGTTCCTCTTTAATGGTTTAACCGCAAAGACGTAGATTAGATTCCCCTGAAAAGATGCCTTTTCCTCAGAAAAATGACCGCGCTTCCATTTCTTCTTCTCCATTTATTTATTTTTTTGCATATGGGTATGTCCTAACTCAGAGCAGCCTGAGCCATTGTGATATATGTGGCTACACGCCTATACCCAATGTAATGAAAGAAGAGAGGGATTTTCCTTCTTGGGAGTGTCTTTGCACTATAATGACAGTCACGGCACAAGGATCTGTTGGGAAATAAATGAAGGAGTTGAAAGAGAAATGTTGGCGCATTGACTGTAGATGACGGATGATCTGATATCCTCGTGTTGGTGTTGTTCCCACATCATCATAATCCATCCGTAGAGGACAGCCTAGTGTGAAATCTAATGCTCTACATTTCCTGAATGTGTGGTGGAGGATAACAAAGGCCTTCTCACACACCAGATTAAACTTTATCCAGATAAGTAAATTATTAAACGTCTCACTGACACTTCCTTGAAATTTCACTCCAAATTTACCAGCGTGTAAATTCTCACTTTCTAAAGTTACCTCACAGACCATCTATTACATAAAACCCAAATAATGCCTCATGGTCTCACTTTGTGGGGGTTTTATGTTACTGTGAAAGGGAAGTTGTGCAAGCTCACAACAAAAGCTGACTCAGCTGAATAAGCAGCTGCAAAATGGACGTTTGCAGCTTTGTTTTCTTTGCTTTTACACAAATAAAATTGAGTTGCTGGAGTTTCGGACGTCTGCGTAACTGTGAAAACAGTGAGGCCAAAGTAGTTCCTGTAAATCCTGACATCTTAGGAAAGTGGCCTTAAAAAACAAACAAAAAAAACAACAACTCATGTAGCCACTGAAACTGTGAGTAAATCAAAGATTATATGAAAGTTCTCTGATCATTGTGGTGATGCAGTGGCTGAAAAGGTGAAGGTCTCTTGGAATTAGCCAGTTATTGGGTTCAATGAAGATTCCTGGTAATGGAGCCATAATGTCTTTAAACAAGAGTCTGAGGTTTTGCACAGGACACAGCAGTCCACAGAGCTGTCTATGCCAACGTTTGATGTTCACCACATTCACTAAACCAAATCCTAAACTGACATGTAACATGTAATTATCAGTTTAGCATTTCAACACTTGGAATGCTATCTGCCTCTTAACCAGGGTTTCAGGCCTGTGTGACACCACCAGTGTTTTGGAAAGACAAACCTGCACATACACAGTTATGCAGGATCCAAATACCCAGAGAGACCAACGAGTAACTTTCATATCTGAAATAGGCCACTTTAGCCTGGGACCTGTGGTGGCAGGCTGTGGTTGTGGCCCAGCTGCAGGAGAGGGGTCAAGCAGAGGGCTCCGCAGTAACGCACTGGTACTGTGAAGTGCAAAGTGCACCATACCTAGAACTGGAATCAAAAGGGAAAGGGTGAGTAAAGACTATGGTCATCAAACTATGGTGTGTGTGTGTGTGTGTGTACATGTTTAGACATCTTTGTGAGGACAGAAAGTTGGCATGTTACTATACTTGTGGGGACCAACATCCTGGTCCCAGCGAGTTTGAAGCCATTTTTGAGGCTCAAAATGTGGTTTTGGTGTACAGTTAGGTTATGGTTGGGTTTAGGCTGAGGGTTATGGTTAGGCATTCGTTTTCGATGGTTAGGGTTCAAGTAAGGAAATCATTATGTCAATTAGATGTCCTCACTAAGATATAAAAACGAGTGCGTGTGTGTTTTTTCGTGTGTTCTGACCTGCAGTCATTTTGATTTATTCGTGGATATTCATACAGTTTTCATGCAAAACAGTTTAAGCTCTCAGAACTCTGTCTTCTACATGCTGGGTTTACTGGAAACTCTAAACTGACCATAGGTGTGAATGTGAGAGTGCATCGTTGTCCAGGATGTGCCACACCCACCACCTTATGAGAACAGGGATGGGTTCCAACCTTCCCACAGCTAAATGATGGCTGGTTAAACCAACCAAGCGCTTTTAAGCACTTTTATCATATTTTCAAAGCAGTTATGATTCATTATATGAGTCATCTAAAGAAACTGTGAAGATGTTCAAAGCACTAATTACAGTCCTGTAAAAAAATATTAAAACTAACTTTGATATTCAGCTAACCAGAGTAAATACAAAGTGCATATTTTAAAAAATGATTTAATTTATCAAAGGGAAATCTATCCAAACTTAGCTGACCCCGTGTGGGAAAAATAATTGCCCCAGATCAGGAATTAACTGTGACCCAGTTTAATTTCACCAGCCACACCCCGGCCTGATTACTGCCAGACCTGCTGAACCAAGAAATCGCTGGAGTAGAGCCTGAGAAACTGAAGCAGGCTTAAAGATCTCAAAAAGCATCACATCACAATCTAAAGGAAGAGCTGAGAAATAAAGTCACATTTATGAGTCCGGAAAGGTTACAAAGCCATTTCTAAGATGCTGAGAGCCACCATCCACAGGAGTGCATCAACAACTCATCCAGAAGGCAGAGTGAGGGCTGCAGATCCCACTTGTCAAAGTTAAGGTCAGTGTTCATGATTCAACAATGAGATCATATTCAGATGGTTTGGTGTGACTGTCAGTAGGCTGGCCATGCTAGAAAACTCTCCAGTTGGAAATTTCTCAATAATATCGGCCAAAAGTTCTCCACAGAGATGTGAAAGAGTCATTCTAAGTCATCCAAACACTTTAGTGCAAAAATAGCATTTCTTTGATGATCTGAAACATGTTAATGTGACAAATATGCAAAGAAATAAAGAAGGGGCAAATATTTTCCACACAGATGTCTATGAACACATCTATGAACATGGGTTCAGCCCCTATTGTAAAGCTAAATAAGCCAGGGTCTGAATATATACCTACAGTAAGATGAATTATAGCATTGTAGTGAAGGTCATTTACTCATTTTCAGTCTTAACAGAGAGTAGAGCATCATCGACAAAGAACACAGGCACGATTTGGATTTTTTGGGGGGGAAGCTTTATTTTGATAATATCAACACTCACATAAATCCATATGACCAACAAACTGCTTGTTCCTGAGTTTTAAGTTGCTTAGCGAACCAGACACTAAACAAACAATCACATTTTCAGTTTTTTCATGTACCGATATCACAGACCCTTTACTTCTAAAACAAAACACACAGAATACAAAACATAACGTCCTTCAAAATATTTTGTCTTTCATAAAATTGATAGTTACATAAAAAAGGCAAGACATTGTTTTAGTAGGCAGAAAAATAGCTGATCATTTTCATATTAAGCTTAAATTCTTAATTTATTCATGTTGTGGTCGATCCCATCTTTCTCCTCGCTGACTTGGAACCACTGCTCTGGCTGAAGGGTCAACGTTTGATTCACTAGGGTTTCACTCCAGTGCAGCGTTTGCCCTGTAGGAATACAAATGTTCAGAAACCCCAAGGTCATTATTTTCACCACGGCTTTAACTTCCTGTTTTGTCAAGCATGGTGCCTAATGACACAGTAACAGGGGACTCTTGTGTAATCCAGTCGAGTGCAAGAACAGCGATTAAGTGATTGCAGCTTGTGTCTCGACTTGTGCTTTCTAAGATAAAAACGTACGGGTCACTAGCGAGGAATGAAAGAGAGTGTTCTAAAAATAACCAACTATCTATCACAAAAGCAACACAGAGGGTAACAATGTGCACCTAGCAAACAGCTGAAGGTGAGAGGTGAGCACCACCACATGACCAGTATCAGGATTAGCGGTTTAACAGTTCATTGGCCTCAAAACACTTGAAATTAAATGAGGCTTGAAACATGTGGCTGCTTTGGTTAAAGTCTGTGAGGAGTTTAACTGATGATGCCACGACAGCATAAAGTCCAAATGTATATGATCTAACATTTCTAAATCTCACTATTTAATACGTTGCAGCTTTTTCTGGTGTTTTTATTTGAAGACATGTTATTATTTATTATTTATTTATTGTATTGCTTAGTAAATGTTATATTGTAAAATAAGAATAAGTGCATGTGAAATGTGCACTGGTGTCAATTTTAAATAATAAACATCTGTTTAAGGGTTATCACTCATCTTGGCCTGACTTCTAACCTCAGTGTCTAAACCTTCAGGCCTAAAGTGACCTCTGTTCAGTGATGTAAAAACAATTGAAATCCAGATGTTTCAGGCACCATCCCCCCAAAAATATCCAGAAGCTCGTCACAGACAAAACCTTAACCCAAGAAAGCAAAAGGAGACGAACTGGAGATGAAGCAGGAGATTAAACTAACATCTTACTGATGTAGAAAGTCCATGTTAGGAGGTGGTGGGTGTAAGTTCTGGTGTTTTAATATTAAACAGACTTTGATTTGATTTAAAATTTGGACCTTTGGACTTTTAAATTCACTGCTTGGTTTTAACTTTGCCTGAAGATAAGTTTCACACAGTGGGACTAATGTGATGATTTTCTGGGAGTACCTGTTCAGCGCACATAAGCAGTCTTCTTAAAACTGCAGCTTACATTCCTAAAAAGCTGCAGTATTCCTTCAAATCAAGTGTATTTCTCTTAAGTAGGGCCACCATCACGTTTAAATCTAAAGAGTTTATCTTGCTGAGAAGCAGAGCAGAGTGAACGTACCGTGTAGTTTTGTTTCTTGCAGAATTTCCTCAGCTGATCCACGTGGCGTTTCAGACCTTCCACCCACTTTTCATTAATGGGGGCGCACATTGTCCGGCCACCTCTGGACAGAAATCTGCAAGAACACAAATCACTCGGGTCAAAATGAGCTTGTGATAGCAGCATGTCTCTATATCCTGATCCCTTACATACATAATCCACGGCACCTCATCAGAACTTACATTGTGGCATCAATAGCGCAGCCTTGTCCCTGGACCTGATGGTGGTAGTTTGCGACGAGACCTTTCCCGATAGGTTTTTTTGCCACACTCAAGCAGCAGTCAACGGGCACCTGTGCCAGCGTCACTGAAACACAAAGAAGACCGTGTCAGCAAAAGGTGACGCTCCAAAACGAAACCACGAACACATGCTCTGTCTCTGAGGTCATGTTTGTGAAGGATAAGGTGACGTAGGTTCAGTCCAGCTGAGCTGTGAGGTTTTACAGGAAAACAGCTGTTATCGTTTTTTAAGCGTCAGGTTACATATCAGGTTCGTATATTTGCCTCTTTTCATTCATAGTTTTTAAGGGTTTTCTTTTTAGTTGCATCATTTTTCATGCGTGCAACTTATTAGTAGTTGTTAGGATGCAGTCCCCAGAGTGACGAACACGCCCAGGGGCATGGCACGCTTTTGTCACTGGACAGGGATTTTCCACAGTTGAACTTTAGCTTTCACCTACAACAAAGAATGCACCAAGGCGAGGGGAATGCCACTGCCACACCTTTGCCATTGCACTGATAAACAATGCTTATCAGCATATTTATAGTTAAATTTCACATTTACTTAATATTCTGCTCATCATTTTACTATACTTTTACTGGATGTCACCCTCATCTCTACATCCTGCACGAGACTTTGCTGTCCTCTTTTGTTCAGCTCTTTAATGATTCATAAATTGTAAATCTAGCAGAAACAATTGGAGATGCATTTGTCAGGAATCTCTGCAAACGTAAAACTCAAATTCTACAGAACCACACATGTATATTTAGGATTACTGCTTTCTCTATTAGTCATTTCAAGTGATTACTTTTTAAAGATACATTGCATCCCTTTAAGCCTACAGACATGTTTTTGCAGTGATTCATTTCATATTTCTGCCTGAGATGAAAATGCATGAATAGAAAATAAAAAGATTTGGCACCGGAGGATGCCTGGGAGAAACTCACCTGTGCAGTAACAAGTGATGAAAAGGATGGAGAGGAAGAGTCTGCCATCACCCCTTGGAGCCATGTCTGGTCTTGCAGGAAGAGTTGCCTTTTGGTTTCTCTGGAGACAGATGGGCTGATGCAGAGCCTGTTCTTCCCTTCAACAACTACTGTGGCAAAGGAAGTGAGGGGACTGCTGCTGCAGCACTCCTTATATAGGAACCGTGCACTATGCAACCGGCCTGTTCAAACTTTCACTTTTCATCATCCCACTTTGTTCTTCCTGTTTCTACTTCTCCTAAACCCTCCCCTCTTAATCAAAGAAAAATCCCCTCTTTTATTTAGCTTTAACAGCTGTTTCTTGGCACTGCCTGTTGACGATAACAAGATGAAATTAATCAGACATAACATTAAGCACACATTTGATCAAACCCCAGGAGTTTGTGGCATCCGTCCATTTTCTTCCACTTATCCAACTCAGGTCTGCGCAGGTGGAGAAGTCGAAGTCTAAGACAAACAGCCAGTCACACCCACTAGTTTACCGAACCAGTGCATGTGTTTGGACTGTGGGGGGCAGCTGGAGTGACAAGAGAGAAACCCTGCAGACACAAACGTGTGAGTCTTGCACTGACTTTAAAAATTGATAAAAAATAAATAAATAAATGCCTGTAGTCTGCTTTTGGGAGCCCCACTGGACCACATTGGACTGTATTCTCAGTCACAGTGTCCACTGACATTTCCCATATTGTTTAACAGCTTCTATGGAGATATTAAAGTAACAAGAACAAATATAGTACAGTTAAATGCTTCGGTCATATAGATTAGAAACAACTAAAGGATTTTATGGATGAAAAATTAGCCATTTGACTTGTATCGCTGTGTGCTGAATCTAGTGGACTTGGGCTCACGTACAACTAGATAAGGCATAGCTTAAAGCAAACCTATGAAGCACAGGGTGTGGACACAAGTGAAATAAAAGCTCAACTTTAAAAATAAGGCAGGACATTTAATTTACTTCTATTAAGTCCTTAAAATGGTTAGTAATTCATGGATATGGCAGCTCAGACACTACAAGGACCAAGAACTGAATAGTGGCACAGTGGTTAGCACTGCTGCCTCACAGCAAGAAGGTCCTGAGTTCAATTCTACCATGAAGCAGGTGTCTGTGGGGTGTTTCCTAGCAATCGCAGGGCAGAGGTTGTACTTACAGATCTGGTTGAATGAGATGTAGTCGTGCTTGTTGCACTTTAAAAAAATAAATAATAATTCTGCCTGAAGGAGTACCAGGGCCACATTTATATTTGAAAAATAGAACTGTTGTTGTTCATTTTGAGAATAAAGTCAAAATGTGTTTAAAGTTTAAAGTCGATTAAAGTTGTTTCAAATAAAATAAACTGGCACGGCTGCAATATGCTCTATAAAATGCCTCGTGTAGACGAGCGTAGAGAGCTTGTTTCACTAACGATCTATTTCAACTTATCGATTTAACTGATGTCACATCATCTACAAACAGCACTACATGTGCAGAGGACCAAAGTGGCAACTCCTGTGCTGTAAAACAAAGCTAACACCGACGTCAAAAAGCTGCAGTAACCACAGGACGCTGGCTCCTAAAGGAAGTCAACCTCCACAGACCCTCGCTGTAAAATGCCCAACTTCACGCATTTAAAAACATGTTTACGGACTGGAACCAAATCCTTTGCACATTTTCTTATGTAACCTTCAATTTAAATTTTCACATTTGTTTCCCAAAGTGCGCTGCCTGTACATGAAAACTACTGGGACATCAATCCTCTGGTTAGGGAGACTTGTGCATCCTCTTGGCCTCCCAGAGGTCACCAGCCTGTCGCACTTACGCTATAGCACCTCACATTAATGTGGCACAAACTGATGTCCTGATGATGTTTCCAAAATCCCAACTGTCTCTGAGAAATTGTGGGGTTTTTGTGCAACAATAATTTTTTGAATTATGTATGGAAGTGTTCCTTCCCAGTAAAGAGAGCAGACCAATGTTGAGCAGAAGAGAAATGAAAAGAGGGCTGTTGGGACGTCTCTTTTTCAAATGTTGTCTGACTTTTAATTCCGTTCTATCTGTTTTAGTGCCAGTTCACAGCAACGGTTTCCTCAGTGTGGTTTAATCTAACCAGACTGTTTAATTATTGGTGGCTTCCAGGATTCCTCAGAGAATTTATTCCACTTTGACATCATAGCGTCCCACAGTGACTGCAGATTTGTCTGCTGCACGTTCATGATGATAATCTCCAATTCCATCTCAAAGGTGCTCCAGTGGATTGACTGGTGACTGTGGAATAAAGTAAACTGGCACTGAGCACATTTCTGTTGTCTTACAGCAAGAAGGGCTTTGGTTTGAATCCCATCTGGGGCATCTCTGTGTGGAGTTTGCATGCTCTCCCCATTTCTGTGAAGCTAATCTTGCTTCCTCCCAAAGTCCAAAAACACGAGTTTAGATTAACTGGTAGCCTCAAACTGAGCTGATATGTGTGAAACTGATGCATGGATGGTTTTTGTTATTTTAAATAAACATAGCTTAGCTGGAATAAAGAAAACAAGCAACTTTGAGATAAGAAACAGTGCTCTGAGCAGAGAGCGCTTTAGCCTCTTGTAACACAGCTTTCTTCGAACCTGAGGTGAAGTACCCTCAGGGTCTATTTGACTTTTCAGCTGTAGACTTGTCTGACCAGAAACAATCAAATCAGGACCTGCGATAAAAATAAAGATTCCCATTATTACAACACTTTGTTGTAAACTTCCTCGTTGATCTGTTCCTGCGTAAATGATACCTCCATGGAAGAGCTGTACTTCCAGTGAAACAGATACCGCTGCAGCTGAATGTGGTGTCTGTAAAGAGCAGCTTTCTCTTCCCCCCCTTATAGTATTGAGGAACTTAGAACAATTGTGACAGACTGATGACCTCTTACTTTTGAACAACTTGTTGAAGGAAATAAGAAGTTGCTTGCACCGCCGTCTTAATGCAATAACAGGAGTAAACACTGATTCTCACGTGTCATTCCAGTGAGTTTCAGTTTCTTGTAACCTGCTGGGTGGAAGTTTGCCTTATTGGGCGAGTGCAGTGTTTGGACTTTCCCTGCTGAAGCACTTACAGGAACATTTTTAAACAGTTGATACGCCTGAATTATAGCCTCTGGCAGGATTCCATTAAGCAGTCCATGTGAAAGGACTGTGTTGGAAAAAGTCTCTCATTATAAATCTGCGTCCTGCATGAACAAGAAAGGACATGTTTTAGCTTTTGCAATGTGTCTTTGAAGACATGCTTACGAGAATAGTTTATGCACGGTTATTGATGCAGGTAGGCATGAAGATTAGAGTTAAACAAGGCCAGAGGTCATCCAAACTCATTTCAGAAAACTTTCACCTTTTACCTTTGCCCACTTTTTCACAGTGATTAATACCACGCTGATGTCATTTTTTGCAGTGTGAATTAAAAACATCCAAGCCATGGGCTGAAAATAAAGTGCTGCAGATGTCACTGAAATCGCACTCTTTTGCACTTTCACATGGAGCGTTCTCAAGACGTCCAGAATAAATGGGGCCCAAATACTTTCTTTTATTTTAGAGATGTGAAGGTTACAGCTGGCATTTCAAGAAAAACTGCTACGGCTGCTGTAATGAAATCGAGAATCAGTTTTAGTAACAAGGAAGAACTTTTTTTTAGCACATAAACAGTGTCATGATGCACGAAACCATGATGCAGAAAGCTGCATCTGGTCAGACAGAAGAACACAAACCTGCAAGAGGGGATTTGCACAAAAGGAAATGTAATGGACGGATGCGAGGTCATCAATGGCTGAACGCTCGTGCAATACAGAGGATGTATGTTCTATCACAAGATGGTTGATCAGTTGCTTTCAATAACTCGCTTTCACAAGGGGTTTAGCAGCCGTGGCAACAACAACTGTAATCTCCACGATTTAAATTTTGCCTTCAATCTCCAAATGATCAACAGTTTTTTTCTTAATGTGGCCCTAATACTCCTTCATAGGGCTGCATCAGGAAGCGCATCAGTTATGCACATCCATCTACTTCGGTGCTCCTTGCAAATAAGGAGAAGCTGAAAGAAGCTTTTTAGCAGCATCCTCCAGAGAGCAGTCAGCCCTCACGAACAGCTGACTGTTGCACTCACATGTCAGACGTCTGGTTACTGTTTGGTAACAGAGTCCATGACAGGAACATGTCCTGTTGATCGATCCTGTAACTAACCAGGCTTGCAAATGCTAGCTGATAACTGAGCTAATAACTCCACCCTCTCATCCCAATATGCTCAAATCTGGTTTCAAATACCAAGATGGTGATGGCCATCCTTAAGATGTTGGTGCACAAAATATTGAGATGGTTTTCAGTTCAATTCAGTTCAGTTTTGTTTATGTAGTGCCAAATCACAATAACACTCACCTCACTTTATATTGTAAGGTAAAGGCCCCACAGTAATACAAATTCATTTTGTTGCAACATGTTTTTATATGCGGTCTGTGATTACCAGTCTGTGTCCAAGTTGTAGTTAAACCTGGGAATTTTCTAACTCCTGATAAACCAGATATGGCTTTCATAGATATCGAAGTGATAACAAAACATGAAGACTGAGGTAGATTGTGTCTGAAAATGGAAATCTGATGGAAGAAACCAAGTTGAAATGCAAACAAACCTGAAAGATAAAGAATCCTAAAGCATGCTTAAGTACTGAGTCAGTTTACAAATCACACTTACGGTAAAGTTTGGAGAAAGTCTCAGATTGGACTGTTTGGTTTTTTTTAGTTACTGATAAGACAAGAGTGAAAGTCAACAGAAATCTGAAGCGTTTAGTTTTGCTATGAAAGGACATCTGTAGCAGATCTGACCAGAGTAAGTGCTTCCCCCCCCAGGAGCGTGTTTCCTTTTTGGGTGGTCTGTAGTTATACAGATCATGTATCTTGTGGGAAACTCAAAAGAAATGCCGTGAACTGCTGATCTTTGGCTCCCTGGACAGTTTTAAAGTGAGCACAGAGATTCTGTTACGAGCAGGTCAAATGGTCAAAATGAGCTGGAAGGACTTCCTGTTTTCAGACCCTCTGAAGCCCAGCCTGGATTCTCATAAATGTTCAGCATGCTTACCGCCAGTCATTCGTCACTTACACTTACAGCAGTCGAGTCTTTAGGCCAACTCCAGTTTCCATTTGAAGGTTTCATAAATTGTCAGGCACAGCTTCCTGGAAGTGGCGTTGTCAAACATTTTCATTTAAATAAACAGCTGTTATTTGATCATTTATTGCCACATGAATAAACACAACGATAATAAACCCCAAAGGCCTGAAAAACTACACAGAAACAGCAAAACCAATATAATGGTAACTGTAACCAAAAAGAAAAGGAGAAAAATAACCTTTTCCAGTTATTATTTGCCTCACACAACGACGTCGATTCTTCTTGGTAAACATTTTAAGGTGTGTGGTAAGTCGATTTAAATATCTTGAATGAGATACTTCGCTAAAGGGGTAAAATTCTAGACGTCTGACACACTTGGAACTTTTGCCCAGAGCTGTACATTGAAGCATGAGGAAATCACAAATGCAAGCAACAATTAACCACATTTTACTGTTATGTATGTGAACCAACTTACTACAGTATGTATGCAGAGCAGACTGGTTTCAAGCGGCGAGCATCGTGAGAGTCGGAGGCACACTTTGTAAAAGACGTGTGCGCACAAGCAAAGCAGCAACAAGAAGGGTAAACACCTGTAACCACCGCTAACCTCTCACACATCATCAACATCACATTTTAAAAAAGCATGACAAGTGTAGCTCGAGCTGACATTTAGATGTTTATCTAAATGCTAGAACAGCTTTGAAATTCACACGAGTTGTTCGCACTAAAGTAAAAACCAGCATTTCATGCGGCTACCGCTTTTGCGCCAGCTGTGGTCTCAAGGCCGGAGCTGAACAAAAACACCCTGATAACAGACTGTGGATAGACGGTTTCTTCCTATCCTACGCAAGGCCACCTGGGTCGGCTGGAAGACTGTTTGCTTAGCCTGGCAGGGTGAAGGACACTGTCTCAGCTGAACTCTGGACACGCACACAAACACACTGATACACACTCACACCCCCCTTTCCAAACGCCTTCGATGCCTTTCTCCTCCCGGGGCAGATGGCTGGTCGACTGGACCAGCGCAGACATGCTGCAGGACCGGATGCGCTGTCTCTCACCCTTTTACCCGTCCCTGTTGCTTGTCTTGTGTTTCTGTGGTGTATTGACACTCATGTGCTTTTTGTGGGGTTTTTCTGTTATCAAACTGTTCTCCCATTAGGAGCTCACTCTGAGTGGAGTTTTTTTCTCTTCCTCGCACCTCATGTTATGTATTTTCGTTGTCTTTTCCTATCAGCCCACCTCTCTGACATGTCTTCCCAATGTGTTGTTTGTGTAAAGTTTGGTCAGAAGGTTTCTTTGTAAGTGCGCATGCGCCATCAGCGTGCTGCCTGCTGTAAGTATTCTGATTAGATTCAGTTCATCCCGACGTCCAGATTAACAGAATCTACTTTTTGAGAAAGAGGTTAGGTCATGTGCAAATACTCCAAAAGTCCAAAACACTCAATTGTAGATGGTTATTCTACTCCTAGCTGTTAGCCACAGCTGTGGCTGTAAGCACAGAACACTCAGCAGCTTGCTGTTCTGACCTTCTGTTTGCAAGGACAAGCAAATCAGAAGACAGCTTAAAGGACGTGTTTCTGCTGCAAGACCCAGTATATGAGGAGTTTGTTTTGTTTGCTTTGATCATAATCATGTAAACTCACTCTAGTATAGAAATATGATCTCGGAAATGAGGAGAACTGGTCCACTTTAACAGTTCTTCAGTGTGTGTGTGTTCATAGTTCTTCTGGCACGACACCAGTTCCACATATCAGCAGGTAACATCTGTGTGGCTGCTCTCTGGTGTGTGAATGAAGTGTGTGTGTGTGTGTGTGTGTGTGTGTGTGTGTGTGTGTGTGTGTGTGTGTGTGTGTGTGTGTGTGTG